TTCCCTACATGTGTAAAACATCTTTGTGTAAATAGTGAATTCACTGTCAGTAGAAGTGAAAGTGGCTTTTATGCTGTTGCAATCTGAGCCAGCAGTGGAGTGGTCAGACGGGTCTGAGTTATGTCTGCATTAATCTAAACCACTATATTTCAAAGTGAAATATACCATTATAATTCTCTGGTTCACATCTCATTCATCAAAGGTAGATGGTGTTACACTGTTGCAGGATTCAGAAGAGAAAAAGGTTTGATTTCCAGGGTGTCAAGTCCTCATGAACTCCCTTGAATTCATTTAGAGCTGTGACTCTGTAACCTCTGGCAGATGTAGATGGCCTTGCACCATTTCATCTCCAATACTCCGCAATCCTTCCTGGGAACCTTGAGTTGCAGGGAAGATGATGAAATTACTTTGGATAAAAGTCAGGGTAGTACCCTGATAGTTGAAGTGCAGTTAAAGCAAAATGTAGGTGCTTCAGTTCAAATAAATAATGCACAAAAGGCTTGTCTGGGAGGTGCCCAAGTCCTGAGTTTTCGCAGAAAACTTTACGCACTCACTTAGTCTGTGATTGTGCATGCCTAAAGATACTGCCCTCATCACGGTTGGTGTTGATTGTGTTTGAGAGACACAAGGAAAACATAGAAAATGCAGGACAGGAGCCAGGCACATTTCCAGCTGAGCTGGAGAAGGACTTGGTTGTCTTTGTTCAATAGTTTGATCCAGGGAGTGGAAGATTTGGATGCCATTCTCTCTACAACCTGAGAAGTACTGAACACTCTGTCTGCCATGTCCAGGAAGAATGCCTTAGGGAGTGGCATATGGGCATTTTGGTTATGGCATCCTTCCTGTTAGAGTTAGGCACTGTGGGAAAAAGTATGTGAGATTCCCACTAACCAGTTTCTCTAACATCAGGAGTTCAGACTTTGACTTGAGAGAATATAGGTCTTTCTCTTCCCGAGACTATTTTATGCTTTGCTATAGGAATTAAAAGGCTAAATAAATAAAACCTTTACAGTTTATTCCTGTCTGAATCCTTAAAGAGGCAGGTACCTTTAAAATTCTCTTCTCTAAATATTTATGCCATAAAACCTCAGAAATCACTTCCATTTTGCAAATTATCCTATACACCATTATTTAATAACACCCTTCTGAACCATGAAATTGTTAAAAGCAGCAGCAGAATCACAATATATCCCAATGCATCCATAAAATTTCACTGTGTTGGTAAAAAAAATCCTCTGAATTAGTTAAAAATAATTTTGACAATGCTGTAATATGAAGAGATTAGCATTTTAAGATACTTTCTTCATAAGATCTGTGTAAGTGGACACAGTCTTTCAAATAAGTTACGTATGACAGTAAGTAGAATTAGTTGCTGCAGGTAAATTTCTTATAACACAAAATTAAATCAGTGCATGTAAAGAAAAAGGTGTGTCTTATTGATCCTTTAGGCTTTTTCAACACTCACTGGAAAATTACTGCATTTTTAAAAAGAGAGTTGTGGAAAATACATTGCTTTAACTTCAGAAGAGAAGTTTGAAGATGCTTCCTTTTTCTTTTTTACTTTAATACTTTTATTTGAAATAAATTTATTTTCAAATATGGAAATAATTAGTTCACTGAACTCTGATTTAAAGCTTAATTATTTTAACAACCCTTTTATTTTTATATCACACAGGTATAGAAAATGATGAAGAAATTAAACAGTTAGATGAAGAAATCAAAGAACTAAATGAATCCAACTCCCAGATGGAAGCTGATATGATTAAACTCAGAACTCAGGTAACAGTTTTATGAAGCCCTAAATTCATCTGTTTTTTCTACATGACTGGTTAAAAGAAATACAGGAAATATACAGTTCCCTTTTACGTTTCTTACGTGTCAAGATTTCTACCTGTGATGTGCAATTTATAAAATTCAAAAACAACATCCATTATGCAATCTCCACACCAGTTACCAGCATTAAAAAAAAAAGGCTTGGCAAAATATATTCTTTAAAATAAAGGCAAGAGCACGGCATGTCACGGTCAGCTTTGCATTTCCCCTCGATAAGGCTATGCCTTCCTAATAGCAGTTAAAATATTGGGTGAGTTTGTGGGCATTAACCTAAGTTACAAGGTGAAGGAGTCCAGATGAACAGTATGACCTTTACCAGGTCTGTGTTACAGACAGGGAAGTGAACACCTTCATCTTGTGGTACACCGGGTGCAGCCCTTGGCAGCAGTAGTGGTTCTGCAGATCCAGCTTAATTCCTGTTAGGTTTCACATAAATCTGTTGAAAAAAACAACATTAGGCTGTTATTTAAAAACTAATCTTTAATCAGTCCTAAAACTGGATGGAAAAGTCGAAGGAAGGAAATTGATTGAATTCTTCCCCTGGCATTTTCTGCTGTCTGACACAGCTCCTGGTGCTTTTTTCTTCATGTGATTTGGGCACAGGCAGAGTGTGATTTACCACAATTCTCACCATTTATCAGCCTTTAGTCCCAGAGTCATAATCACCCGATTGGTCTTGATGGAAACAAACTAAACCATTGCTTGGTACCTCTCTGCTGCTTGGGGAGAAGAGCGCTATGTCCGTCGTCCTCCTTCTCCTCTTGTGTAGGCAGAAGGCAGGATCTGCCTCTTCAGCTTGGTCTTTCTTTGGTTTCTAAACCTTAGCCAAATTGAAATTGAAACCTCACTTCTATTTTATGCCAATATTCAGGGTTCTGTTGTCATTGTTGCCCTCAGAGGACTTGACTTACATTTTACACAGATTTCTGATGTGAACAAGTGTAACTGTAGGATGATGAGGACAAAATCTGCAAGAACATAACGCAAGAAGAATAATCAATAGCAGGAAAATGATATGCATTTATGTTGGAGGAATTTGGTCCTAAGTTTTTAATTTGCCATCTTCCAATCTGCCTTATGTTTTCTTTTGCTTAATACAAAAGATGCTATTCACATACAGACTGATTTACCCAGTGTTTTAAAACAACGTAAACCACCCGTTGTGTGTACATTAGGTAGATGCTCCAGTTGTCACTAACTCTCTGTATTTTGAATTTTAGTTTTGGCCAGATGTGAATGGAAAAAATGGCCACTATAACGATCACAGGCATAAAACATGTATTGAGTTTCAAAGATTTAGCTAGGAATGTCACATCAAGTTTTGAGCTGAAATGAGTACAGAAGCCGTACTTCAGCGGTCTCAGTTCCAACTTTCATATCTCAGACTAGTGCCATTGCATATTCTTAGAAATCCTATTAGGCACTAAAAAACTCAACTGATGATTTCAACATGAAGTGGAAAGGAAACTTTTCACACCTTGGTGCAGCAGATTTAGAATAAGGGCAGAACTGATAATGACACATACTGTCATTAAAATAAGTAATAGGATTCTATAAAATAGAACTACAAGAGACTTCGAAATGTTATTTTGTCTACCAGTCATCTTCTCTTCCTATTTCCCAGCTCTTCCTAAACCCATCCTGACAGGTGCTTGTCTAATCTGTTCTTTACCTCCTACACCAGAGATTCCACAGTCTCTGGGCAGTCTGGTCTAACCCAAATGATGCCTAGCAGAAAATCCCAGCTGAGTCACACATCACAAAAATTCAGAGGCGTCAGTTTTGAATTTGTACACTCTTCTGAAGATGTTACATTTCCAACATAGAGGGAGTTACATCATAGCCATTATCAATCTGTTAAGAGGATCAGAGTCAACAGTCCTCTTTTTGTATAAAACTTGGAAAAAAGTATTTTTAATTTAAGATCTTTAAGTAAATTTGACCGGATTTGCCATGCAGGTCCAAAAGTATGAGTGGGGCAGAAACACATAAAGGTGAGATGGGGAAAGAAAAATCTGCAAATAACTGTGTGTCTCATGCAAACAACAGGTTGCCTTGCTTTTAGAATAGGTATAAATGAGCATTCAGTAGCTTTAGGGTAAAATGTGGGAGGGAAATTTCAGCCTTTAAGCAAGTGAATACGATAATTAAGTAGGCCAGTTATCTTAAGATACTTCCACATGAATGCTAAATGAAATTGCAAGATATCCTGATCAGCTGCCACTGTATTTGCAGATCATAGAATCACAGACTGGTTTGGGTTGGAAGGGACCTCAAAGACCATCTAGTTCCAACCCCCCTGCCATGGGCAGGGACACCTTCCACTAGACCAGGTTGCTCAAAGCCACATCCAGCCTGGCCTTGAACACTTCCAGGGATGGGGCATCCACAGCCTCTCCAGGCAGTCAACATCTTACATGAAAAAAGTTCTATTCAAGTAGCAGTGCTCAACTAGCTAGAAAATCTATAAAATATCAGCTCCTACTTACATATGTTTGAGTGTGAGGCAGCAGCAGTATGCCATATTGAACTGGGCCTTTATTGACATAAAAATCCTGACTTTGATCTGTAATATAAAAAACCAGTTTTTCAGGAGAATGTTGGAGCACAACTGACTCTAACAAGCAACCATGAAAGATGTTTTGCATTTTCATACAGTGCTACTCTGACATAAGCTGAAAGCAAACCAAGAGAGGAGGATGTGTTTCTAGTTTCAGAGCTGAAGAAAGTATTTTGCCTACTCTAATATGTTGTAGAAATAGCTCAAAATCAATTAATTGTGACAAAAGGAAGCCTACAAGGAAGCTGGGAATGGATTTTTTACAAGGGCCTGTAGTGACAGGACAAGGGGTAATGGGTTTAAATTGAAAGTGGGGAGGTTTAGATTAGATATCAGGAAGAAGTTCTTCACAGAGAGGGTGGTGAGGCACTGGAACAGGTTGCCCAGAGAAGCTGTGGATGCCCCATCCCTGGAAGTGTTCAAGGCCAGGCGGGATGAGGCTTTGAGCAACCTGGTCTAGTGGAAGGTGTCCCTGCCCATGGCAGGGGGGTTGGGACTAGATGGGTTTTAAGATTCCCTCCAACCCAAACCATTCTATGATTCTATGAAAACCAAGCCCCTCCAATACTGACAGCTTGGATCAACTGCTGTCCAGACACCCATAGTCAGAGATACGTGAGAATCGTTATAAAACGATCTAGCGACATCACTTGTCAAAGCTACTTCTGTGAACTAGTGGGCTGTCTTCCCACAAGCAGACTGAAGCTTTAGGTCCAGAGTAAAACGTGAGGCATCTAGCAACCTGATTGTGCCAACTATTTCCTAAATTTTACTTGCCCATGGTCAATGTTAATACTCACTTAAGAACCTTTTCCCCTTCTGCCTGCTACTACCGCACAAAACTCCAGCCTTCCCATCAGGATTTAAGTGGTATCAGTTCTTCCCACAGTTTGCTCTTAATGTAGAAGGGGATAAAGCTCATATTGAGAATTCAAAACCTTGTGTTCTTTGGCATTTTTTCACTTCTGTGGCATCCTTTTTCTCCCTCTCGTCAATGCATATTTTAACCTAAACACACACAAAAGCATACTGTACACTTTGTAACAGATGCTAACAGTTGTCATTCGGTGTGGAAAGTAAGAGCAGGTCTACACGCGAAAGCGTAGACCTAGAGTGAGCTCTGCACGTGCTCTCGACGCATTGTGCGTAAGCCAGTGCTCATCCAAACTCACCGTAGCTTCATTAGCACGGAGCTCTGCGCAAGCTTGGGTAATTTGCCTCTCAGCAGGGCTTTTTAGCTCAAGCAGGGCACCATGCAAGGTCGGAGACAAGTTGTGTCCCGTCACCTGGGAACACAGGCAGAGCATACTCTCGGTTGAGACCCACTCTGCTGGCTAAATTTTCTTCAGTTTCTTCAATTTCCCAAGTCATCGTATGTGTTAGAAAATGTTCCGAGTTTGCACATACGTGGAGATAACATGCGCTTGTTCAGCTTTCAAAAGCAGCCGTGTGCATTTGAGTAGAGTCAGGTGAGACTTACCAAGAGCTGAACACGGGCAGCAGGGAGCTGTGCATGCTCAGCTCACCAGCTGTATGTGTATATAACAGAAAACGTAAAAAATGCATGACTTCTCACTGCAGCATGCCCTACAGTAGGCCTCTAGGAGTAGAAGTGTTTAACCACAGGGGTGAACTTGCAGAACTAAGGTCCTTCTTAAGGCCCTTCATCTCAAGAAGAAAAGCTCTAAAGCAGCGGAATCAAATCCAAGTTCATTCATTATTATCGTTATTAAAAAGAGAAGCTGTTAAAGTCATAGAACATGCGGCAGGAATAAGAATCCCTTAGCAATGATAAGAACTGCGGACTCCAGCAAAACCTTTTTGGAGTGCGAATGAATAGACCTTTTTCTGCT